CCCCAAAACCCCAAAACCCCAAAACCCCACTTTGCTTAAAATTTTGAAATTTGGAAGAAATATTAGAAGTCTAATTAAATGCTAAATATCAATGATTAAATTTTGTAAAGGTTACTAAAATTACTAGAGCAACTAGAAATATTAAATCAAAGCAGACTACAAATAAAAATGGGTATGAAGGGCCATAATCATTGTGTAAAAATGCTCCTACTTTTGTAAAAATCATAACTCCTATTGTTCCAATGAATTGATATGCACCTTACATTGAACCTCTAATATCTTTAGGCAAATTTTTTGAAAATACAGTATCAGTTAATACGTTTTAAGCTCCATGAGTTAAAATCATTGCTATGAATACAACTGTTGTTGATATTTAGTTAGGGTTTGTTAATTAAAAGAAACATGCTATTGACAATACTTTAAGAGTTGTGAAAAATCCCATTAAGTGCATGTACTTAAATTTATCAGCTAACATACCCATAGGAATTATTAAGGTTAAGTTAGACAGAGTGGAATAAGTGTTGTAATTTTAAACGATTTCCTAGGCTTGCTAAGAATCTTTAACATAGGATGTTCCAATGAAACTAGATGTCCACAAGGTCATATAGTTTGAAAGCATAATAACGTTTATTCTGACAATAAAATTTGCAAGGAAGCACAGCGGGATAATGCTTTTATGAAAACAATACCATATTAGGTTCTTTGTTAGCTTTTTTGCTTTAGTTATAGCTGATTCATCTTCATATACCTTAGAGATCTCATTATTTACTGTTGATGCTAGCAGACTTCTTTGCAAAGATTTTCTCTAAGAATGCACATGAGGTTCCTTCAATATAAACCAGAAGATTAAAGCCATTATTATGAATAATATTCCAACAAATTAAAACTATTCTCCAATTTTAAATCCTGAAATTGAAGGTAATATAACAAAATAGTTGAGCATATCCCCTGTTATAGAGCCAAAAGCTTAAAATGCGCTAGCTTTTCCTCTAGAATCATTTTATATATAATCATTTACTAATGGATTTTAAGTAGTTCCAATAGCTAATGATGTATAGATTCCTCTTATTATGTAAGCAAATGGCCAAATATTTGGGGCTCCCATTGGAATAAGGATTAGCACTATACCACTCCCAATAACATTAAATGTTATAGTTTTTTTCCTACCGTAGATGTCATATATATATCCATAAGAAATCACTGCTATCATCTAAAAAAACATAGAATAGAAAATGATATCACTGCTAATAGTAGCAATATCTTCTTAGGGAATATTGAAATATATAGGATCTTTCAGTAGGAAAATGATTTAAACCGAAAAGAAAAAGCCAAAAATAATCAAATGACTCTGAATAAAAGCAATTGCAATAACATTAACAATATTGTATCTCTATTTAATTCTCATTCCAAGAAATACTTTCCCTTTAATAGGCTTTTAATCATCTTCAAGGGAATAATAAGATGGATCTTTATGTCTAATTTATAAATTCATTTTTTGAATTATGATTGTTAATCTATAATATAAAGCTATTTAAGTTATTAATGATTTTAAATTAAAAGATTGAAAGATTCAAATATTTTTCATTAAGGGGTTTTGGGGTTTTGGGGG